AGCTGTGTCTCTGCCTGAGCGTGAGTAGATGGGCCGGGCTCCACGTCTGGCTCTGAGACTTCTCGCTCCTCAGAGCCTTCCGCAGACTCCAATGTGAATCCAGGCACCTCCTCCTCTTCATCCAATTTGGCTGCTGGATCCGCTGGCAGGCAAAGAATCACAACAGATTCTTTGGTTGGGCTGTTTACTAATGGCTCTGTGGCAGTTTCTTGATTGGGGTCTTGCTTATTTGATTGTTGGTCTGAAGGTGACCTTGGAGTTTAATCTATGCTGATCTGAGTGCTGATTACTGGTGGAGAAGTGCTGAGCTGGCTGGGGAATTCTGGGAGTTGAAATTCACAAGTCATAAAAGGGCCAAGTTTGAAGACCCCTGTGCTAGAGTCTTTTTCTCTTTGGGGCTGGTTGATTGTGTATTTTGCAGAGTCTACAGATGTTATTAATGTCTATGTATCTATTGATGGCTGATTTGTTAGATGCTAGGCTTCTAAAAATTGCCTGGCATTTTTAGATTTGGCCTGGTCTAGGACAGTCACATTTTCCCAATGGAAACTATGATGTTAAATCTGTCTCTGTGTTGTAAAATTAAATAATTTTCATCATGCCTTTTGACTGCCAGTTGGTGTTTGTGGATGCGTTCTGCCAGTCTTCTGCCTGTTTGTCCTACATAGTGGTTGTTGCAGTTCTTACATTGTATGTTGTAGAGGACTCCTGTTTTTTCTTCTCGGATTGCTGGGTCTTTGGGTTTACTTAGGATGTTTTGAAGGGTAAAATTCCTTATGTGCTACGCTGATTCCATGTGGACCCATTAAGATTTGTTTTCGGGAGGTGTCTTATTTTGCAGCCACCCACCCATTCCATCCCACTGTCTGGTTGCTTGGTACCACGATGGGGCAGGAGAGCGCACATCACACCAGTGCTGCCGCCTCGAGTTGAGGCAAGGCAGGTGGGGGGGGGTGGAGCTGCCACATGCCCTGCACCCACTTACCTCAGGCCCCCTGCAGCCAGGCCACTCCCCGTTTGCCGACCCCCCCCCGCCCGTTCAATGATCAGGGTTGCCTGCCCGTCTCTTCCCTTTCATTCCCCTCCCGAGCTGGACTGCCATGCTACAGAGGATGAGAGGGGGAGGCTTGGTCCCCTTACCCAGTCCCCCTGCACTGTTTTGGAGCCAGGGGGGAGTGACGGTGAAAGGCCTCCACTGTGCAACGGCCGCATCCACCGCTGGAGGGGCTTTCTTTGGTTCCCTTTGTGGTTCTACCCACACAGCCACAGGAGAGTTATACCAGGTCTGGCAGCTGGAGTCATGACAGCGCGGTCTTTGGAGCACCCCCACATGCCACATGCCCTGTGGTTGTGTGGGCAGAGCCGCAAAGGGAACCAAAGAAAGCCCCTCCAGTGGCAGACGTGGCTGTTGTGCAGCGGTGGCAGAGGCCTTTCACCATCACTCCCCCCTAGCTCTGAAATGGGGAGCAGGAAAGAAGGAGGCAGTGGCTGCCGCTGGCAGGTGCTCTGCGGGGCGAAGCAGTGGAGAAAGCCCCTCCAGCAGTGGATGTGGCTGTTGTGCAGCGGCAGTGAAGGCCTTTCGCTGTCACTCCCTCCCGGCTCCAGAACTGTGGAGGGGGATCAGGTAAGGGGACCGAGCCTCCCCCACCCATCCTCTGTTGCATGGCAGTCTGGCTCGGGAGGGGAGTTAAAGGGAAGTGGCGGGCGCGCAGTTGGGTCATTAAATGGGCAGGGGGAGGTCACCGAGCGGGGAGTGGCCTAGCTATGGGCTGTCGTGAAGTAAGCGAGTGCTGGATGCATAGGGCAACTCCACACACTCACCCCGCCACTGCCTTGCCTCCCCTTGTGGCAGTGCACCGCGCGGCCTCCTGCCCCGTTGCTGCAGTGAGCAACCAGACAGTGGGACAGAGTGGGCAGGCTCTTAACTAGGGCTTATTTTGGGGGTAGGGCTTATATTAGGTGCACACTAAAAATCATTCTAGGCTTATTTTCTGGGTGGGTCTTATTTTCTGGGAAATACGGTAACAACATCTACAGACTATGCAAAAGAGAGAATCAACCAACTCAAAAGAGAGAAAGACTGCAGCACCTCTCCCACCAGTAATCAGCACTCAGATCAGCATAGATTAGCTCCAAGGTCACCTTCAAGTAAGCAGCACTCCAATCAAGAAACTGCCACAGAGCCGCATACAGCCCAACCAAAGAATCCCTAAGACCGCCCCCACCCACCCAGATAGGCAAGGCACCAGGATACAAACCCACAGCAAACAACCCTCCTCACTAGCACTGATAAGGTTACCTAGATAGGTCATGAAACGTCTGCAAGAAAACCAGCAAGCTTAGAGAGCACCAAGGAGCCCACATTACTGATTCCCTCTAGAGCAGTGGTTCTCAACCTTTTTAATGCCGCGACCCCAACCGGTCATAAGTCGAGAACTACTCAACCGGTCGTAAGTCGAGGACTAATCAACTGGTGCAGCACCGTTTGCAGAATGGGAGTTTTGGCGGGCTCAGCAGGGCAGAGACAGCCTGGACAATTCCTATTGGCTTTTGAAAGCCAATAGAATAAAAGGGAGTAGCACAGCTAAAGGGGAAAAAATGGCGGACTGTGTTGTTTGGCGACCCCCGTGAAATGGTCGTTCGACCCCAAATGGGGTCCTGACTCACAGGTTGAGAACCACCGCTCTAGAGACATGGATGAACACAACCATGAAGGCTCTTTCTGATTCAGCTGGGTTTAAATCTAGGACATTTTCTTCAACATATTAAAACATACAATTAGGAAAGCAGAGTACTTTACTATGTTATGGCTTTTATACTATTAAAAACATATAATCCTCGGGGTAAGACCACTCGTTCAGCAACCATTCAGTTATGGTGATACTGTACCAGGGCGACTTATGACAGGTCCTCAAAGTTCTGGCCGTCGCACCATCCCCGCTGTCATATCAGGTCAGGTGCTTGACAACCAGGTCACCCCACTGTCAGCTGCAGTGTCTCACAGTCCCAACCTCCGTTTGCAACTCCTTGTCAGCTTCCCACAAGCAGTCAGGGAGGAAGCCGGCAGGGAAGGTCCGAAGTGGCTCCCATCAGTCGCTCCAGCCACCTTTTCCCCTGGGGGGGTCTCGCATTCCGTACCTCCCACTCACTCTCTGCTGTACACCACACAGGTAGTCCTCACTTTATGACCACAAATGAGCCCAACATTTCTGTTGCTAAGTGAGACAGCTGTTGTGAAGTTTGCTCTATTTTACGACTTCTTGCCACAGGTGTTAAGTGAATCACTGCAGAAACAAGGTGGTTACGTGAAGCTGGCTTCCCCATTGGCTTTGCTTGTCAGAAAGTTGCAAAAGGGGATCACATGATCCCGGGATGCTGCAACCGTCATAAATAGGAGCCAGTTGCCAAGCATCCGAATTTTGATCATGTGACTGTGGGGCTGGTACAGCAGTCGTAAGTGTGAAAAAACAGTCATAAGTTGCTTTTTTCAGTGCCATTGTGATTTTGGTCACTAAATGAACTACTGTGAGTCTATCCATAATGCCTGCTTGGCTGGAATATGGCTTCGCCTGATGTGGTCGTGAGAGGTTCTTGCTTAATGACTTGTGCAGTCCTCACTTAGACAGCAACAGGGTCTGCTGGGATTGCCATTGCTAAGCCATGCGGTTGCGTGATGTTGTGCTTTATGACCAATGGCTTAGCAACAAAAATTCTGGTCCCAACCACTACTGTAACCTGAGGACTAGGTTGAAGATGGCTGCAGCTGTAACAAATATAGGAAGGACCGTCAAATTAGGTGAGGCATGAAAAGTAAGATGCGTCCATTTTCATGGTATGGAACCATTTCATCAATGGAAACATCCCAAGAGGAAAATCATTTTTATCAGCTGAGAGATACAGCTACAAAAGTAAGGATTCCCCACCCCACCCCCAAGGCCTCCCATGCAAGTGATCGTGAAGTGGCACCACAAAAATGTTATTTTTGCTACAAAAGACATAGCTGCCCCTCTGGAAGTTTACCCAATAGAACAGAAGTGTACCAAGTGCCCAAAACGTAGTGATGTGACCACTGGAGCCGGGGGGGGGCACACATTAGAACTTCAAATCCAGGTTATAAGTACCTGTCATAACTTCAAATGGTTACTAAGTGGTCAATTGTAAATCGAGGACTACCTGTGTAGACACAGATACCACACCGACACACATCTATTACACTAACTTGGGTTCTTGCAGTGAAACCCCTTACAAGCCATCAAGCGAATGACACAAGTGCATGACACCTCTGCACCAACTGACCTCCTGCTGCCTGTGTGCTCCTCCCCCTCCCCTCCCCTCCCTAGCTGCCTCTGCAGCCAAGAAAAAGCAGCAGAAGCTCCTCCAACCACACAGGCCTCAGCCTGGAAGGCAAAAGCCAACTGATCAGACAAATGCAGGGGACCCCCAGGGAGAGCGCTGGGTGGCCACAGCTGCCTTTATAAAGGACACAGAGTCCTTGTTAGCTAGTGGAGTTTTGTTTAAAAGTCTCAATTCATCCCTTTTAGCAGGTACTTGCTAAAGATACTTGGATCCTAATGCATATTTGACTGATAATTTAACAAGCCCGTCGATTATTCTATAGCAGGGATGTCAAAGTGGCAGCCCGCAGGCCAGATGCATCACCCAGAGGCCACGCCCACCCTGGTTCCGGTTCTGCCCATTGGGGTGATAGAGAATGAATCTACTCCCTTTTCTGCACAAGGAACCTTCAGATAGTTAAAAGAATGCTTTTGCATCTCTCCTCAGTCATTCTTCTCCAGTCCTCCTAACTGTTCCTCATAGAACTTTATTTCCAGATGCATCACCTTCCTCTGGAGTCACTCAATTTGCTGTTATTCTTTGTGAACTGTGGTGCCAGAACGCAACCCAGGACCGTCAAAGGGATCTGACCAGGGCAGATTTGAGGAGGACAATCCAAGAAGGTGTTCTAAATGATGCAATTGAATCCTGGCCAGCCATCTCACCTGATCAAAGAGCTGCTTCCCTGTTGTATTGGGCTGAATGGCAAATTCCAGCTCAGCATCCATGGTGGTCACTCGCACACTAATCTGGAATTAGAAGGAAAAATCAATTAAAAATCCAGCACACCAAACAAAACACAATCTCAGCTAAAAGACAATCCTTGAACTAAAAATGGGAGCACCACTATCAAAAGCCTATTGGAAATGTAGTTCAGGGTGACAACTAGGCAATTGGGATCCAGACATGCCACTGTTTATTTTCTCCAGGAGGCAGGCTGAGAGCGTCACACAACTGGGCACAGAGAATGTTTCCAAGTTGTTTATCATATCTCTCAAAGGGCAGGACTTCATCTGTGTAAGCCTTCCATACTGATTAGATGTGGGCTTTGGTTGAAAAATAGGGGGAAATTATGGCATCACAGTTACTAGGAAGTCTCTGTTACATTCTCCCCCCCCCCCAGGTTACAATAAAGGTTTTGATGCCTTAGAGCAGGGCTTTTCAACCTTTTCACCCATTGTACCACTTTTAGGATATGGCAACATCCGAGTACCACCAGTCGCCTAGCAAGGGGTCAAAAACTTGATGACCAAAAAAAAAAAGAAAAGAAAAAAGTGATAAAGTACAGGTAGTCCTCGACTTACAACAGTTCACTTAGTGACTGTTCGAAGTTACAATGGCACTGAAAAAAGTGCCCCCCAAGCCACAGCTGAACAAGACACCTGCCTGCCCGCCCGGTGGCGCTCTTCCTCCTGTCCAAGGTTTTCATTGTTGTGAGCATTTCTGTTGAGGATTGGCAGAGGGGTGGGGTGGGGGTGTTTGGTTTTTATTCCTCCCGTCTGCTGGGTGGTTGCAGCAGGTTTTGGTCACTTCACATGACCCTGGGATACTGTGACCATCATAAATATGAATCAGTTGCCAAGCATCTGAATGTAAATCACAAGACCCTGGAGATGCTGCAACATTCCAGCTGATCGGCGCTTCTTCTGGGCTCAGCAGAAGCGCCAGGATCAGCGCTTTCCAGCTGGAACCTGGCGCTGATCCTGGCGCTTCCACTGAGCCCTGACAGCCCTGCAGCTCCAGCCGTCTCTCTCTCAGGCTTGTGCGGTGCTGCCCCCGGTTCAGCTCATTCCCCTCCCCCGCTACCACTTTTCTAGGATGGTTGCGTACCACCTGCCAGGTGCCAATGTACCACAGGTGGTACCCGTACCCCTGGTTGAAAAGCCCTGCCTTACAGGGAAGAGAATTCAAAAGAGTGGACCAGCCTAACAGAGATAAAGGATGAGGCAGTCATCAACGGTAAAAAAATAAGAACACAGTGATCCAGCAGAGTGCACACCCTGTCAAAGCAAGAATATACAGTGTTTCATTAGTCGGAACCATGACACACCCTATTAAGCCCTTTAGGCATGATTTCACCTTCCATACTTCCCAATCGATAAGCCAAACCATGGGAAGATTATGAGGGGGACTTGAAGTCTAACACATGGGGGGGGACCATTCACTGGGTTGCACCTAAGCTTTTAATGGGCAAATGCAGAGACTTCTTTGGTGTTCTAAAACCTTATCCATCTCTTTTCTTTTCAACTTCTCTCCAAGAACAATCAAGCCACAGATTATTTCCAATGCAATTTCCATGGGACAGCTCGCCCAGCCACCTAAAAGCTTTTTTGTTGTTGTTGTTTTTGTACAGAATTCAAATTGTGCAATGAAATATTTACAGCAATAAAGACCCTATAGAGTTTCATCCCAAAGCTCCACCAGAATTAACAAATTGTGTTTTTTGCAATCAACAATTTGCAGAAGGTCCTCCTTAGAAACACCATTTTTCTTATTATTATAATAACCCCTAAAATGGTCATGAAACGGAGCCTTCCTGAACTTTCTCTGCCTCCTAAAACAGAGATTTATCCCCATTACTCAATGCTTCTTGTCCAGTGAAAAAGAACAGCAGAAAAGACACTCTGAGCAATCTCCCCAAGAAGACAGGCTCCCCTGCAGTGAAGTCTAGCCACTTTTGAGCCTCCTCACCCCCAGCTGTTTGGAATGCAATACCCCAGTGTTTCCCAAACTTGACAATTTTAAGGCATGTGGACTTCAACTCCCAGAATTCCACAGCCAGCGTTGCTGGCTGTGGAATTCTGGGAGTTGAAGTCCTCATGCCTTAAAATTGTCAAGTTTGGGAAACACTGCAATACCCCAACACATCTGGTGGGTACCAGGCCCAGAAAGACGTTCTAAACACTATGCCAACTCCTATATCGGGCTTCTCTGGCAATGCTATTTCAAAATACACATCCAAGATACGTTCTCTTCTGGCAGGATCCAACCTTTTGGGGGGGGCAGGCTGGAACACTGAGAATGTGTCAGCATTCACTCTCTTGAACTTTTTCTTCCCAGATGTTATTTGTCAGATTTGGATCTTTCCTATCAAAAGCTCGAGAGGGCAGATTGGGCTTTCTCTCTTTGTTTCTCTCCATAACCACCACCCAGAGAGGCCAATGTGCCCAGAATGTGTGCCTGACTTGCAGCTTCTTAGGGACCATCGACAACCGAGGATAGATCGGAGCCCAAGTCGCCCCTCCCCCCAGTACAAATCTGGAACAGCGGCTGCAGCTGCCCTTCTTTCTGGGCACAGGAGCAGGTCTCCAAACCCAACAGGGGTCGGCTTCTCCAAGGGCTCTAGGAGTCTTGGACATTCCTGGAAAGAGGCAGGGCTGAAGGCTGCATTTCCCCTACGTGGCGCCAACCGTCCCTTACTGTTCAAACACTGTAGCTATTGCATATCAGCACAAGCCAGAAACTGGTAAGCACCAAAAAGCTGCAGCCCATTGGGAGCCCAGCAAGACTGCTGTGCATGTGTGTGTGTGTGTGTGTGTGTGTGTGCGTGCGTGCGCGCCTGCGTGTGAGGCGGTCTCCCTGGGATGAAAGCAGAGAGAGTTGCCTGCCCCCTTGCAGGACAAACTGAGCCAAGGGAGCGTCCTGACTCCAACACTGAGGCCAAGCGATGTTAGGGGACAAAGGGGAAGGGCATTTTGCCTTTTTCACCAGCCTGGCAATCAAAACAAAAGCTTGTGGCTGGATCCCTGCTCGGTGTGGTCTGTCTGGTAACATCTGCCAACCTTCTCCAGACAGAGGGCCCCCCCTTGTGCTCATATAAAGAACCCAAACACAGCCCCCTCCCTCTTAAACTCTTGTGCAGGATAATAGCCAGTGCAGGGTGAGAGAGAAAAAATCCAGAAACACAGCAGCCTGAAGGCCAGCCGTTGCCACCGTGCCAGTCTGCCAGGCAGGAAGGCCGTCATAGAACCCATCCATTTGGACTCTACAGCCATCCTGCTGGAGAATGTTCTGTTCTATTGTCCAAGCATCAGAGATTATCGTATCATGGGCACCAGTGGCAGCCATGAAATATGAAATTATACATCATAAGTTGCCCAAATATGATGAATTAGATAAAATAGACGTGATTGCATAATTTGTGCCATCTACATTATTACATTATTATGCATGTGACATCATTCTCCCCCACCCAACCCTTGCAATGACTCACCTTAAACACCCTGCTCTCTAAAGAATTAAATAATTCACCCAAAGATGCTGTGGCAGGGCAAAAATACATGCTACATGCTAAGCTAGATGCTCAGCTCTCTTAGTTAAAATCAAACTGGGTTAGGGTTTCACATGATGCGTGAACTCTAAAAGGGGCTTTAGGCAAAAAAACAACCATGACATTTTGGATCTGCCTTACAGATAGATAGATGCTCTACAAACTGCAGTTGGACAAAACTGAATGGAACCAGAACAACAAAAAAATAAACTGAATCAAATTAAGAATAAATTAGAATAATTCCTTTAATAAGTCTCCCTTCTGCCAGGTTAAAAACTACAATTAGGCAGCAACTTCCAGAAGGACCAACGGTTACCGGGTCCTAATTTATACATATAGTCTATATTAGTCTTTCTCAACCTCAACAACTTCAAGATGTATGAACCTCATTTGCCAGAACTATGTTAAAGTGCCGACGTCTTGAAGTTACTGAAGTTGAGAAACTGTGGTCCCAGGCCAAATCCAACCTCCAGTCAGTTTTTAAACTACAAAACTTTCCAAAATTATCTCTGCTCTATTCCAAAGGTTTTCTAAGCCACCCACCTCTCCCAGAAAACCAGATTGAGAAAGTTGCATACTATTATTTGTGCTGGAGGTTCTAGTATACACTCTAGTATAAATTAACATGCTAGGATTATGACATTCAAAAACACAATCCATATTATTCTCATATGGCAGATTACAACATGACCAGAAGTTAAATATCTTGGCTTTTTAAACCCACAATTTATCTCTCATTTATTGCAGGTAGAAGAGCATTCAATTCAAGCAGGTGAACTATCAGAATAACAGTTGGAAGGGATCTTGGAGGTCTTCTAGTCCAACCCTCTGCTCAAGATCTTATACTATTTTAGACAAATGGTTGCCCAATCCCTTCTTAAAAGCTTCCAGTGTTGGGGCACCACAACTTTTGAAGGCATGTTGTTGGTTGGTTGTTCTGTCAGGAAATTCCTCCTTAGTTCTAGGTTGCTTCTCTCCTTGATTAGCTTCCATCCACTGCTTCTTTTCCTGCCTTGGGATGCTTTGGAGAATAGCAACCTCCTCTTCTTTGTGGCAGCCCTCAAATATTGGAAAACTGCTATCATGTCACCTTTAATTCTTCTTTTCACTAGACTAGATATATCCAATTCCTGCAACCGTTCTTCATAGGTTTTAGCCTCAGATTATCAAAGAATGGCCCTTGGGAAGAGAAGCCAAATGAGATCTACTATGGGACAGCCAGGGCAAGAGTGTTAGACTGAAGGAAGGAAAGCTACAAGAATTTGTCCCCAATTAAAAGGAGGGCCTTCGTAGAGCAGACAGGTTTCTAGTTCAGAGCATATGTCAGCACCCACCCACCAATTCACCATCAAAGACCTAGAAAGAATCCAGGTGCAGTTCTCACACTTCTGCCTATCATGTTGCATGACCCTGATTTATGGCTCCAAGTTCTCTGACCCTCAGCCAAACATGTATACAATATACTATGGCTAATTATTA